TTTGTGATTTTCCTTTTAGAGCCAAATGATAGTTTAATTAATTCTTAAATGCATAATTAAATCCTAAATATGCATGCAACTTGTATTTTTGTATTTTTCAATTAACTACAACAAGGTAAATATTTACGGACAAAAAACACAAATAATTATCAAAAACTGCCACGCAAATCCTAAAAACTGTACACCAAGAGAATTTTGTTTTATTTTTTGATTTCTTTTGGAGTAGTTTTCGTGAAGCAAAAATCACGTGCTCACACTGCTCACATCAATATTGTTCTGGCGGGGAACGACTCAATATATGTTCACCGACTTGGGTATTGTTCTTTCTACCAATACTCATTTTTGGTGGGTTACTCTCTTCCTCTTCCCCCACTCGCCGAGGAGTTTTGCCGCTTTTATAGCGTCTGCCCGGCACAACTTTCCCCTTACCTATATAAAGCCTTTTTATGCTGGCGAAGTTCGCAGATCCATTTGTCATCAACTGCATCTCTTCTCGCCCAGTTTCTACACTGGCACGCTGATTCATCTCCCCACCGTGGGACTAAGGGATTAGTGACGGGTATGAATGACAGGGCGAATCGCCAGTTCTTGTGCAATTACTTCTTCGTCAGGACCAAGCATGTAGTGGCAGACCCAGCTGGGTTCCCTGAGCAGTGGAACTTCAGTCGTAAGGGCCTTTTAACATTCATCATATATTTTGTTTATCTCTACTCTTTTTGTTTTTGACTTGCTCGTGTCTCTCTATTTTCAGCTGGTAAGTGTCCACCTCTCTTGGTTACTGATATCGAGGACTGGGTAATGCGCTTCTTACCTTATACTGTGGGTAATCGCGACTGGATGTCCTGTAATAAACGGTTCAATCCCAAGCCTTTGACTAGTGAGTCTGATTCCCATTTCTACGACCCTTTCCCTTTCGTTATTGCTTACCACTGTCTTGTCATCATTCTTTGTTAAACATGATTTTCTTTTTGCGCCAGGTCGGCGAGCTTCCAAGAAAGCAAAGGCTCCGGTTCCCACATTCCGCCAGGCAGTCACTTCGGCCGGAATGCAATTCATATTGGCTGAGTCTGTATGAGAGGGTAGAACTCTAGCTCTGATGTTGGGTGATTCTGCCCCACTGGCAATCATCACGTCGGCTGAGACCTCCGATCACCGCATCTTGCACCTAATTGACGAGTCTTCTCATGACGAGGGGGAAACGGTACCGAGAAAAAGGTGGAGGGTGGAGACTGGAAGGGTTGGTGCATCCAATACCGAGTTGGAAAGGCCCATTGTTTTGGATGCAGAGGCGGCGCCCTTCATGGGCATTGAGGTTGCTCCCACGCCGGCTATCATTTCGTAGGAAAGACCGTCAGAGGTTGAAGGGACCTTCGATAGAGTGGAACCTGCATGAGCAGCCAGGGTCACCTCATCGTCAGCGGGCAAAAGGGATAAAACCATCCTCATAGAATATGATGGGCCAGGCTCTGATGTCGACCCTGAGGAGGTGTAGGCTTTTGAGGAGAGGTTCACCCGAGTGGAGATAAAGACGGAGGGGCCTGATCGGCACATAGTCATCCCCGTAGATTATGACCTCTTGGCCAATTCTAAACGGGCGGTGCCGGCCTTCGCTACTCTGTGTGCGGATTCTAAGAACAGGATGTTGCAGACACTAAAGGATGCGGATCTGTTATTGGATATATCTGGCATGGCCTTGCGAGTAAGTTTGCTTTTCCCGTGTTAGGTCAGTTTATTTCATATGTTTTAATTTACTTTCACTGACATGTCTTCTTTTGCTTGTCAGACCCTCATTATGGAGATTGAGCGTGATCGGCGGGAAGAGCGTAGGATGGCCCTCTTCAAGAAGATGGTATCCACGTACAAAGAGTACCGTTCTAAGCATCGAACGCTAGTCGACTTACTTAGCCAGGATGACCAGTTTCAGACGCGTCGCGATGGGTTTAAGCAGAAAGATGAGGAGATGAAGGAGAAGGATGAGGAGCTTATGAGGTCCATCGGCTGGTGCAGCGTGCTTGAGGGGCACCAAGGGCTAAGGAGGATAAGCTCGAGGTGAGCAAGGGAGTGATGGCTAAAAATACTGACCTTCAGACGCATGTGGCATCTTTAAGGGTCGAGATCAAATAGAGCAAAGCAAGGGCCGTCAACCTGAGGGGTGAGTTGCGCCAGGGTTGAAGAGTTGGGCCTAGCTGAGAAAGCAAGAATGACCGCTGTGGTGGAGGAGGCAACCCTAGGGGGCACCCTTCGTGTTTGCAGGTCTGAGCGAGCTATTGAGGCGGAAACTTTGGAGCTCAATGAGGTGAGGTTTGAAGAGCGGATCAGGGATTTGGAGGCGGAGTTGTCTAAGCTAAATGAGCAGGTTATCGCCCTAAGGGTCGAGAAGGTGCAGGCCCAGCGGTCTACTTCTCATACTTTTGCCGCTCCCGGTGTGTCACGTGAGTTGTATGAAATGTGGGTTCATGATGAGGCCCAACTTGACATATACAAGTCTCTGAAGATTGCTGGGAAGATTTTTGAGGCAGAATTTGAGGAAATTCGTGTCAAGGCACGTGCAGCTCATAACGCCTATGGTTATGATCCCGGTACGCCCGGAGGAGATAATGACGAAGACGCCTTAAATAGGCTTGCCTCCAACCCTTGGTACGATGATGAGTATGCTGGTGACGTTGGTGATGAGGGAAATGATGGGGCGTGAAGTATTTGCACTTAGTTTTTACTTTTTTTTGTGGGGGCGTGTTTCCAGCCCTTTGTAAAATTTATTGGTATGGAATGATTGAAATAGAACAGTTGTCTTTTGCTGTGTATTTCTAGCTCTTTTTTTGTGACTGTTTTTTTTGTGAGAAAGTCCCTGACTTTCGGTTTGATTCGAATGAGGTCATCGATTCGAGCGGGGTCGAATGTAAGTTAATTCGAGTGAGGTCGAATGTTGACGATTCGAACGAGGTCGAATGTATATTGATTCGAACACGGTCGGATGTAAGTTAATTCGAGCAAGGTCAAATATAGATCGATTTGAACGAGGTTGAGTGTAGGTCATTGCCTGAGAGAATATGGAAACCCATCATAGAGATAAGCTTATTTTTTAAGGACTTGTGTTCTAACACATTAAGGGATGAGAACCTAATTTTCATGGAAAGTAATATCCCTTTAATCATAAATAAACTAGGGAAAAATTTTCCATATGGTTTCTTCAATGTAATGGAACATCTCCAATTCACCTTGCACAAGAGGCACGACTTGGAGGACCGGTTCAATGTAGATGGATGTATCCCTTCGAGAGGTAATGACCATTAACTATTTTCTCTTTATGTATTTTGGTATAAAGAATTCCTATCTAAAAGTGTGTTATGCAGGATTATTGGCAAATGTAAACGGACCGTGAAACAAAAGGCCAAGATTGAGGGATCAATATGTGAAGCGTATCTAGTTAGAGAAACCTCTCATTTTTGTTCGTATTATTTTGAGAATCATGTTCCATGTTTGAGAAATAGGTCGAATCGGCATGATGAAGGCGATAATGATCCTTTGGAACCTCCTATATCCATATTCAATCAATTGGGTAGAGGTCCGAGAAAAAGTCAAAAAAGAAGTTGGACTGATAAGGAAAAAAAATCGGCTACAACACATGTATTACTGAATTGCCCCGAAGTTCAATAAATTTACAAGTAAGTTTGGAATTATATTATTGACCTATGTACATAATCTATTCTTCTTTTAACTAATAAACATTGTAAAATTTCTGACAGTTACTTTGTGAGTTAATTCGGCCATGCTAATGTTTATCCTAGATTTTCAGAGTGGTTTAGAGACTACGTAAGTATTAATTAATATGTAACAAAATTTTTATTATTTACACACTATATGATTTTCTAACTTCTCGATTTTCTTCAACTCTATATAGGTTCATAATCCAAAAAATGGTATATGTGATCCTTTTTTGCATGATATAGCTTAGGGACCTACCCCACAAGTCAAAATCATATCTACGTATTTTGTCAATGGATACAAGTTTCATACGGAAGAATGATCTAAGAATAAGAAAATCATTAATAGCGGGGTATGGGTGAAAGGTGGTGATGGTGACCAAGGTGGGGATATTGATTATTATGGTGTGCTCCAGGATATTTTAGAAATAAAGTATGTTGGTTGAACAAAGAAAATGTTGGTACTTTTTCGATGCAAGTGATTTGATCCCACACCAAATAGAGGTACAAAGGTACACCCACAATACAAAATAGTAGAAGTTAAGCACACGAAGGAGTACCAAAGCTACGATCCATTTGTTATAGCACAAAATGTGAAGCAAGTGTATTACGCTTCTTATCCGTCAACGTGTAAAAATAAGAATGAATGGTGGGTAGTTATTAAAACTAAGACAGTTGGAAAAGTGGAAGTTGATGATTCACTAGTTGTAGCGTACCAAAATGATATATCAAGTGTTCAACAAACTGTGGATAATGAATTAGAATATGAGCTGCATAGTGAAGGCATATACGAAGAAGTTGATCTGTTAGTTGAACAAAATTATGGAATTGGGACATTTATGGCCAATGCGGAGGAAGATTCAGGAGATGAAAATGAATTCATTGAGGAGGAAGAATTTTCTGATGAAAATGAAACAAGCAAGGAGGATGAAACTGATGATGAAAATGTAGCAAGCGATGACGATGGAATGGATGATGGAAATGAAACAAGCGATGATGATAATTGACATGTTTGTTTTTTCTAGCTTATGTAGTAATTATGCTTTTAAATTTGTTGCTAAGAGAATTAACAAGCTATTTTTTTTTTATGCTTGTATTATTCAAATAGCCGTTGGAGGTAAATCAACGAAGAAGAAACAAGTTTCACGTAACTTAGGTCGTCTCCCTACCTCTCCACCATCGGCACATTCTGGTCCGCATGTGTCTCCACCTGCATGCCCGTCTTCAGTTCCACCTCCCTTATACTCTATACCACACCTAGGGTATATTGCTCTGTCCTCTGCCCCTTACTATCATCATATGTCTTCCCAAGACATAAATGGGACGTTTTCATCTAGACCTGCTTGCCCATCTATGCCTACACCTAGACCTTTCATACCCCCATCATCTACTCCAGTCATTCCATCCCATGGCATTCAATTGTCATCGTCTCGCGTTATTCCTTTATCATCTTCCCCTAGCATACCCTCTTATTCTACGCCTAGCATGCCCACATCTTCTAGTCGACCTCCAAAGTATCCTTTCATGCATTAATTTAATCTATACATGCTCAGGATCCTCCAAATATTGGAGTAGATAGCCTTCCGACGTCCCCATGTATTGATAGTGATTCAGTTACACAACCTCCTATACATGCTCAGGATCCTCCAAATGTTGGAAGGTTAGATGATCTCGGGAGGTTGATTATCGTTCCCGATAAAGCTGGGTAAGTATTATTTTTTTATTTTCTAATTAATTATAAATCTGGTTTCTAACATGTTTAATTTAGTGCAGGTTTCATCCTTTTACTCAAGCTACAAAAGTTGTAGTTGAATAAATGTGTTCATTTTATCGTGGACCTTGGAGGTTCTGGTCAGATGTTCCAGGGAACATTAGGGACATGATGTTTGATGAATTTAGGGTAAAATAAATTATTTCATTTTTCAACTAATATTTAACCAATATAACAAATTAACTATTTGCAGATGAAGTGTGTTTGGCCAGTTGAACGTGAGGTAGAGGTACGAGGCATCTTTTTTAAGAAATGTGCTGATAGGTTGACTGATATGCTTCGAGAAGCTCGAAATAAGAAAGAGATGTCAGGTTGGATTACTGAGGATATATGCATTAAACTAACTGAGTATTGGGCCTCTGAGGAATTTAAAAAGAAAAGTGAATTGGCAAAGGCAGCCTGTTTGTCCGACAAAGGTGGCTCCATGCACACGGGAGGCTCAATAAGTATTGGGGCTCATCGAAGAAGATTGGTATGTGTTTATTATACTAGTCTAGTCCTGTGTTTATACAATTAAGTTACTTATAAGGTAATTACTATAAGTTCTTTTGTGCTTCTCCATGTACCAACCACCAAACAAAGTGTATGACTTTGTCTGCTTACATAATCTTGATTCTAAATTAACTTTCTAAATTTCTGTAGTATGAAAGGTAATATCCAGCTGTATACATTGAGAATGCAACCATCCCAATGATGGAGTCCCTCATAGTAAACATCATATTAGCCTGTGTGATACTATGCTTCTCATGTCCTTCCAATATCCATCAATTTTGTGTTTTGAGTAAAAAGTTTCAAGTAGGGATAAAGCAACAATTTGATATCTTTTACACGAGAGAAGGAAATATTTTAGTCCATATCTCAAATTGTAGACCTTACATTATTCTTAAGGAAAGTGCATCTGGTATGAGGTATCACTTTTCTTCTAAGTCAACAACATCCATAGGAAGGTCTTCCAAATTTATCAATCAGAGAGTTTGAGAGAGAACTCAGCTTGATTATTCCATCAAGCCAAATAACTAGTGTACATACTCTAAGAAAGAAAAGAGAATCAAGCTATACTTTATTTACAAGATCCTACGAGATTCTAACAACACACATATCCGTGTTTGCACCTAAAATTCTTAACAAAATGATATGATGAGACAAAAGAAAACTACTACCAAGCAGCAGAAAGATATGAATGAAATGGGAGGATATGCTCTGTCGTCTGGTTTATCGATTCTGTTGTTTAGGTGGGCTTCTAAGAGTTCGCTCCATATTACATGGTTAGAAAAGACTTGTCTGTTTGCTATATTATTTCTGCCAATTAGAGAGAGGATTTATATTTGTAGAGATAATAATAATAATAATAATAAAGAGAAAAAATGGCACTTGTCAATATTATTTTTCGCAATTTTCTCAAGTTGAAGGCAGTTGATGCGGAAACTGTTATAAGCTTGCATTCTGCAATAAGGAAGTTTGTACTTTGTAATCATATTTCCTTTACTTGTTTCTAAAGAAAATGATATCTAGGTTGTGGGTGTTAACTGGAAAGGAGATGATACCATTGAGGTTCCGAATTTTGGGGATGTAGACTACCATTACTATTATTGCTGATTAGGGATGACAAATGGGCTGGTTGGGCTGAATTTGGGCGGGTCAAGATAGGTTAGGTCAATAAATGGGTCATTGCCCAACCCAACCCAAAGTGTACTTGGGTTAAGATAGGTTGGGTCAAGATAGGCTAAATAATGGGTCATAACCCAACCCGCCCAATTTGACCCATGTTTTAGAATCATGCTCATCTTGCATGAAAAAAATCTTTTACCTTAAAATGTGTAAGTCAAAAAATATTTTGGGGGTGGGGCG